AACTGAGTCATCTTATTATTTCGGCATCTAAAAAATCACTCCAAACTGTTAAGGTAGCTTGCATTATTCCATGCCCTGGAGTAATTCTGTCATTTTAATGAAGCCAGCCTCCCTTTAATTCTGCTCCTTTCTCGTGTACAACATGTGGTGTGTAGTTACCAGCTTGCCAGGTCTGCATCTCATGTCTATTCTGTGTGCAGCCTGCTACACCCTGGTTTTCCGAAATAAAAGCGATCCATAACTTTTTTATAAAATGTGAATGTTCCATGAATAATCTACCTTTAATGTCACTGGTAAATGTAATGATCATTAATACGTGTTTTCAGCTTAAAAAAAAGTTAACGAAGCACAAAGTGCTTGTGTAACTAAACATTTAAGATACTGTACGTACACTACAGTACATAATACTACAAGCTCTCATCTATTGCTGTAGTAACACAATGGTTTGCAGCTTTGTAACACAGTTTGTATAACACCACTTCGTGTAACTTACTAGAGTATACTGTATTTCCCTGCCAGTTTTTGTCAAGTATTGGAAAACATTTTTCTAATCACGTTTGATATCTTAGATAATAAACCGACACAGTAAAGGCAGGATAAATGATTAAATAGAGTGGAAGGATAAAGAGATGAATCAACCCAGAGCTGGGCTCCTGAAGCCCTGCCCATGGCCCAGTCGCTGTGCTAGGCTGTGCCCTGGGTATCAGGAAGGTCGCGGATGGGCTCGTTCTCGAGCCACTGCACAGTCATGGTAGCAGCATGTAGCCGTATCCTTTCACTGGTAGTGGATAGCATCAATGTCAGTTGGAATAGTGGTTACACTGGTCTTTTGGAAGGTGGAAGAGGAGATTTAGGGAACTGCAGCTCTTCTGTGAGTATGTTGTATGTTTACCAATGGTAAAATTGACACAGGGTGACTTTTTGTTGGCAGACAGGGAAACCAAGTCAGCACTGAACCTGTACTTCCCTTTCATGTTTAGAGGTGTCCACTTTAGCACAGTTGGAGCACACTAGTGCAGAAGACTTGCCCTGCAGCTCCCAAAGATAAGTGGAATACTTTGGACTTCGGGTGTGACTGTCTTTTAATTTATCATTAAAACCTATTTCAGGTGTTAAGACTAGAAGATATATATGCTTTGATACAGTTTATCTAATGTCTTAGTATTTAGCATGGTAACATGTACTCTATATCTTTTGGTACTCTCATTTGAAGCAGACAGTGTTCGCCTTTTTCTCAAGTGCTACCACTACCACCAGTAGTAGCAGCAGCAACTTATGATCATGACAGCAACATCTCAAAACTTCCCAAATCAGGACCCCGCCTTCGTGTGCTCCATCACATATTAGGACCAGTCCCAGCGTCCTCCCTACCAAACACTGGCATGGTGTTCTCAGACAGGTTTCCCTAGGTATCCCCTTGCTAAGCCATGATCTCGGTCCTATACCCACGATAATCCTGGTCCCGCCTCTCTGAAGTCACTTGCTACTTTAACATACCCTGTCTTTCTGTAGCATAGCTGTGCTCAAAGTTTGGTTTGAGCTTGCAAATCAAGTAAAATGTGCCAGCTGTGTTGACGCTGCCTGTAGTGGCACAGCTAAAGTGTGAGAATATACTTTACAGATATGTAATAAAATTAATTTTAAAAATAAATAGTTTAACAACTTTGCATTCTAGGCATAATAACTACTAGCTTTGTATATTCATTTTAATTACAAAGCCTAAAAATGTAGAAAATCCTTAATGAAATGGAAATGCACATTGTTGTAATTGTTTCCATTGAACCAGAGTTGAAGATAAAAGAAAATAATAATCCTGGACAACACAAGAAGGGAAAATATAACTCTCATGTAGTGAAATACCAAACCAAACAAAAATTCTTTGAAAACCATTTTGTCTTTGAGTTAGTGAAAAAAATCCCCACTACTAGTTTGTAATTATTCCTTTAGTGTGGAAAAAAGGAATGGCTAGCTGTAATTGCCTGGGGAACAGACATCTAGTGCCACTTAAGATGCTGTAGGGTATCTAGACTGGTCTCAGAGTGCTGCTTCAGAAAGATGTGGGTCTCGTGCACTGATTGTGTAACCTCTGCTATCTGCATGGTTATTGACATGAGTTGACAAAGTGCGCTTGCAACCCCGCAGGCCAACCGTATCCTGGGCTGCATCAAAAGAAATGTGGCCAGCAGGTCAAGGGAGGGGATTCTGCTCCTCTACTCGGCTCTCATGAGACCCCACCTGGAGTATTGCATCCAGCTCTGGAGCCCTCAGCACGGGAAAGACATGGACCTGTTGGAGGGAATCCAAGAGAAGGGCCACAAAAAAGATCAGAGGGCTGGAGCACCTCTCCTATGAAGATAGGCTGAGAGAGTTGGGGTTGTTCAGGCTCGCGAAGAGAAGGCTCCAGGGAGACCTTATGATGGCCTTCCAGTACTTTAAGGGGGCTTATAAGAAAGATGGGGAAAGACTTTTTGGTGGGACCTGTTGTGATAGGACAAGAGGTAATGGTTTTAAAATAAAAGAGAGAAGATTCAGGCTAGGTAAAAAAAAGAATTTTTTTACAATGACTGTGCTGAAACCTGGCACAGGTTGTCCAGAGAGGTGGTAGATGCCCCATCCCTGGAAACATTCAAGGTCAGGTTGGACGGGGCTCTGAGCAACCTGATCTGGTTGAAGCTGTCCCTGCTCATTGCAGGGAGGGTGGACTAGATGGCCTTTAAAGGTACCTTCCAATCCAAACTATTTTGTGATTCTGTGTGTCAGGGACATCTTCGTTATATCTAGACTTCTGTTTTTTGCTGCTGAATTGAGCTTACAGTGTCTTTAACTGGCTGATTTTAGCAGCTCTAACAGTCTCTGGCATATCAAAATAGTATCATTCATCTTGAAGAGCAAAAATATTTGCTAATATGTACAACTTCTGTTTAGCTGATACTCCTTTGCATTGGAATAAATGAGAACTGGGGGATGATAAATGCCTTACCAGTCACTTCAGACAAAATGGTTGAAAGTTCTCCCAGAACAGTTGTGTAAAGGGATTGCCTGTTCAGATGGGATTAGAATATCAATGGATTTTAATAGTGTCTAAGAAAACCCTGTGAAAGTACACCCAGGTATCTTGTTTGTGTTTCCAGGTGATGGACAGGGGCTCATGCTGGGCAGTAGACCAGCATCTGTAAGCAAAAGGTCCAGTTACATCTACAAATACATTTCTTAAACATTGGCATTCTCTTGGGAATCTCTAGCTTTGTCTATAGCATGTGGTTTAACTTCATGAATTTTATGCTCAGTCTCTAAATATGCCTTTAGTGAATTTGAACCTCCCAAACCAAACGTCATTACCCATTGTTGGTTATATTGTCAGATCTTGACACTGCTCTTTTTATTTGTAACTGGATTCTTGCTCTGTGTCGCATAGCATTCCCTTCTAATAAACACTTGTGTGTACATGAGCCTACTTGACAGACAGTAAGTCACAGGCATTGCACAGGGTCTGCTGTGACCAAGTACTCCACGTTGCTTGAACGCTACATCTTCTGGCTGTTCTGAGTCAGCTGTCCTGGGACAGAAAGGTAAAGATACTTGTTATAAAAGATAGTTTCATGTTAGTGATGATTACTAAAGACTGGATATTGGAAGAGGTGGTGGAAGAGGAAGGAGACATACGGGTTTTTAATCTCTCAGTTATTGCTAGTTTGGAGAAAGCTGGAATGAGATCCCAACATTTATTTCTCACTGAAGAAGTTTCTGTGGAACCTCAGCCGTGTGCTAATTCTAAAGGGTACTGTACTGTCTTCTGGCCCTTAAAGGAAACTCTAGCATTAACCTGTCTTCATGGACTTTACTTGGTGAGGCTTTTAGAGTGCGTGGGAGGAGTGGTAAAATGAGGAAATAACTAGAATCTGCAATTAAGTAAACTTCTATATTGACTATACAGACGAAAAGATAGGATGTAAATGGTTTGCATTAATTTCACCATAGTTTCATTAATGTAAATGTAATGTAAATGCAGAACTGCCATCAGTAGTCTTCCCCCTCTAAATGAGACTTCAATTCACTCCTGGCATTTCCTCTGATGCTCCCTCTTAAGAGAATTATCCAGTCTAAAAATACAACCAGGGGTTGTTTTCTCACAGGCACTGGGAGCTTGCTAATGTCCATTCCTTAGATTTTTATTATGGAAAGAAATCTTGTTAGCTTTTATATATAAGGAAACTGTTCCTTTTCTGAAGATGTTCACTGAATATTGACAATCTGTGAAGCTGTGAATTGTACATAACTTCTTTAATCAGTTCCCTGGTTTGCTATTTAGAGAAACAGGAAAATAAGTGTTTGCCCCGATCAGTATGTGGTTGAGGAAAAAAGTTCAAAAAAGAATTCAGCAGTGCAATATCTACAGGTAGCTACACAGGAAACCTTGCCTTCTCATCACGGGTCTGGGACAATTGGCACTGCTGACCTGGTGTGAAGGACAGGCATATCTGAAGAGATGGTGTGCACAGATGTGTAAAATAAGCTATTCATTCCCTGTGTCATAAAGAACGGATAATCTAACTGGCACTTTCTGATCAGACCTCCTACAAGGGTTACAACTCAGCTACTACCCAATTGACCTAGAAATGGAGAAAGTATTTACAAGTACATAACGCAGGCACAGTATTTTTCGAATGTAGATTTCTTAAGCCACTAAAAATCCTACAACCACCTTAGACTGAAGATGCTTTCAACTATTTTGCAAGCTAAAAAAACCAGTTTTATCTTTGCATAATCAACAATTTTGCTGACTCTTTCCAGTGTATTTCACATAATGCTTTATAACATGTTGGTATATTTAAATAATGTCAGTGTTATTTAATATATTTATATGCTATTCTGCTAGCCAGTTAAAGAAGAAGTATTTTTTATTTTCTCTTGAATTTTTGAATTTTTGCTTCATTGGTGGTATATGACTCTTGTCTCTTTTTTTTTCTCTCTCTTTTTTTTTTTTTTTTTTTTTCCTTCAGAACTACTATGGAGCTGCCAAAATGATTCTTTCTGACAATCCACTTGGCCTGACATGTGGAATGGTGTGTCCAACATCAGATCTCTGTGTTGGTGGCTGCAATTTGTATGCCACTGAGGAGGGACCAATTAACATTGGTGGATTGCAGCAGTTTGCTACTGAGGTAGGATTTGCAAATGTATTAAATTCTTTGTATGTACCAATGAGTATTGTCTAAGTGGTTGCCTTTGTTAACGATTTGTTTTAAAAAAAGTTGGTACTAATAAAATAAAGGCGTAGGACGTTAGAATAATTATCCTTTCTCTTACAGCACATTCAGAAGCTTAGAAATGCTTTCATAATGCAATACTTCATAGGAATTTAAGGAACATTATTTGTGAACAAGATGACTCTTTGGAAACACTAGTTGTTGAGACAATTTGTTTTTAAATGAAATATTTATCTAAGCCAGGTAGACTTGTGGATGTTACTGAAGTAGGGTGCATAAGGGAGAAGATCACGTGCACCTGCATCTGTAACTGCCTGTTAAGGAGATGCAAAACTGTTCTGGGCATAGAGTAGATCCTCTAGCAGAATTAGTGTGTGTTTGTACTGGCTATGGGCGAAGGAAAAGTTTCAGATGATTTAGACTTTTTACTGTCCTCTTTTGCCAAAACTAAGTAAATAAGTAGTTTCAGGTTGACCTGAAATTTATGTCTGTGTGCCTATCTAGATAAACACAGATGCACACACATGTGTGTATGTGTATACTTATTAGTTCATAGAGCTATGTGTATATTTTGGCTACTTACTTGCTGCTTGATGTTAGGGAGTCTTCTAAAGGGTTTCTTTTCAGGTGCTTGTGCATTATTTGTGACTATATAGTTTCAATGCTCCATTTTCCATCTGAAGAAAGATGGAGGCTACTGCTCATTTGTTAACTTCCTTTGACAGCGTGGAGAATTTGCACCGAACCAATGGTCTCAGCTCACACCTCATCTCATCTGTCTCAAGTATCTTTGGGTAAAAGTTGTGATTTTGGTCTCTGTAAAAGTGAGGAAGTTGTGGCTGTATAAAAGAAGGCATATGCATGTGTTAAGATTGCACATTTCTATACAGTCCTTAATTAATGAGCATGTCCCTCTTCTGTATCTTGAGCCATTTGGCTGATCATATTTACAAACATATGATGAAATTCCAGTCACCTTTACAAAGCCTGAGAAAAAAACCAACTTTGTAGGACAGACCAAAATAGAAATGCGAATCAATCTGGAAGTAGCAGATGATATGTCTGGAAGGCCAATTTTTTTCCTCTGCTGTCATTCAAAGACTTCACACCCCCTTCTCAATGGCTGTGGGTCATAGTTCGATGAGCAAACGTTCCTACCTGCTGTAGTTCTTCTCCTTTTATCTGTTTGTATCCTTTCTTTCTTCTCTCCAGGAGACTTGTAAAGCTTCTGGAGCGACTGCTAAACTTTTCCGCTAGCTGTTGCTGAACCTTCTCTCCCCTCTGTCATTTAAGTAACTATCCACTTTGATTTTCTTGAGATTTGAACATACAAGTGTAAGAATTAGTACAGTTTGGACCAAAGTTGTCATTTACAAGATGAGGTTAGAGACACTGAACTGTGTTTGCTCTATGTGTATGTTCAATACTTGGGTTTTATCAATCAAAAGCCAATTTTATTAGCTTTTCTTCTAATGGCCTTTATTCCTTATATGTTAAAACTTAATATTTGTTGCAAAGCAGAAGACTTATTTTTTTTCTTAAAAAAAACCCAACCAACAAGAAACCCACCCCAAACCAAAAAGAAAGAAATAAAGATTAAACAGTTGTCAAGTAGATGATAAATACAATGGTGAAATATTACTGTTTAGGAACCAAATGCAAGTAATATCTTTTAAAACTTGATTTGTGTCTCCTTTTAGCCGTAATGCTTTGATTAATAGAGAGGAATTATGGCTTGATAGATAATGCTAAATATCTGCCATTTTTCTTCAAAAATCTTTAGAAATCTATTAAAAAAGCTCAGTGCTAGCACAACGATTGATATGAAAACTGCAGAGGATGAATAGCTCAGAGTGGCTTTGCTCCTAATGTTTCAAGTTTGTTTAAAGAGATATTAGTGTCAAGAGTTCTAACAAAATAAAATTGTTTTACAGTTCTATTTAGCACTCCAACAAAAATACCATCTCAGTAAATTTTATTATCCTTAATATTTTTATAATATCCTAAAATGTTAAAATTAGTTGTTAATGACCTTCAGATTTACTGCTGTTTAACAAAGAATTTAGTATGTATTGTAGTACTCATAATTAGTAATAATAGGCAGTCACTTTTGTAATTGAACTTTTTTTAGCTTTCGTTGATAGATTTTACTATGAAAGTATGTATAGTTGAAAAAATTATAATGGTATGAGTGCTTCCAAGTAACAATTATTATAAAAATCTAGATTAAAATACTGAAGAAAGTCATAAGGTGCTACTGCTCGTACAAAAATCGGCCCAAATACTGCAAGGGAAGTGTGTTCACAGCTTTACCTATATGAGTAATTTCGCAAATTGTGTAATTTAGGCATGCAACATGTGTTACTCTTAATGAGAGCTGCATGGTAATTCTTATGCACTGTATAACAGTTTTTCCCACAGGGCCTTATTTACTGAAAACTTCATTGTGCATAAAGCCAGTTTTGGACTTTTTTCTTTGGAATTAGTCTGAGGATCTTACACTTGATGCATTACGAGAGCGAGCGATAATAAAAAGGCACAAC